TAAATTGCAGTCTAACATGCAAAGGTACTGTAAATGTCTTCCACGGACGAGAGAATATTGTGTGGGTTTGGAACAACTGGAGGGTTAGTAAACTATATGACAGAATTGATTTTCTTGTTTGAACTTTTTCTCTACCTCAGTAATGATGCCCATTGATTGTGGCTTTTACTCCTTGTTACGAGCATCAAACACAAGGGTAGAAATAAACGAAATAAACCTGACAGCACTAGAGTGCTTGCCTTTTCCCAGGCAAAAAGAACCAAATAAATCAATACAGGTTTATATATATATATAAAAATAAATATTCCCTAGAAATATACTTTAAGTACACATGGTTTCTTGCATTTTGCTTTCATTGTGATGTATGGATCAATTTATGGACAGCAATAAAAAAAAGTTACTGAGAATTATGTATAGAGATTTTGTATACTGTATTTGATAACATTACTTTGACAGTTTGTCCTTTTTAGTGCTATACTGTAGACTGATTATTTAAATGTATTCATGTATTTATTTTTTTAATAACAGGCCAAAAGGAAAACAGACCACTGGATAAATTTCAGCTGACGTTCCCTCTGAGGACCAACTACATGTATGCTAAAGTCAAGAAGAGTCTGCCGGAGATGTACGCCTTCACTGTGTGCATGTGGCTCAAGTCCAACGCCTCTCCAGGAGTGGGGACGCCTTTCTCTTATGCAGTCCCTGGACAGGCCAATGAACTGGTTCTTATTGAATGGGGAAACAACCCAATGGAAATGCTTATCAATGACAAGGTATATTCACGCTGAACAATATTGAGAAAAAGATTAATTGCCCTTAGGGAAATTCAGAAATGCATGGTTTTTCTTTGCATTTAAATTCATAATTTCCTTTGTATTCCTTTAAAGGAGATAGACAGACAGATTGGTAGGATGTTGCTAGATGGTATCTAATGTGTTGCAAGAATATGTTGCTTGCTAAGTTGTTATATGCTAGCATGTTGTGTCAATTTAGTGTAGTTACAAACTGAATACTCAAAGCAGGCAGTCTGCTCTGCATCAAAATGAACATGATGTTTACGTTTCTACTGGTTTTTGCCCTCTTTTGATGTAGGTTGCTAAGCTGCCTTTCCTGATCAATGATGGGAAATGGCATCACATTTGTATCACATGGACCACTCGAGATGGAGTGTGGGAAGCTTACCAGGATGGTGTAATGAGAGGAAATGGGGACAGTCTGGCCCCATACCATCCAATCAAACCACAAGGGGTATTGATTCTGGGACAAGAG